ATCTCGTGGGGGGTCGCCCTACACTTCGCCTACCGGTACGAGGCTGCCACTCAAGTACCTTTCTTCCCCATCGGTTGTCGGTTCTTCGAGCTATATGGCCGGCCCACTGCCACTTCAGCTTACTAATCCGTTGGGCTATGTCGGTCACTCTGGTTCTACTGCGGATATCCTAATTTCTAAGTTTATCACGCAGAGAAACTCCGAGCATAGCCCTCTCCATAGCTCGCTGAGCGACCTTGAGCTTCCTAATACGGCCAGCAGTGAAGGACCACGTCTCAGATCCGTAAGTCATCACTGGCAACACGCACTGGTTGTATAATTTCGTTTTAAGGTTTTGAGGAATGTCTAACGAGTAGATGTGTCGTAATTTCCCGAACGCTGCCCAGCCGAGTTGAATCCGTCGATTAACCTCTCGGTCGAAGTTGGACTTACCTAGTCGGACTATTTGTCCCAGGTAAACATACTCGTCAACAACTTCGAGCTTAGTGCTCCCAACAACTACCGGCATAGGTGTGACATGGACATTGAACATGATCTTTGTTTTGCTATAACTTTAGTACATTTTAATTTATTTTGGATTATTTTTAAACCCCGACGCTAACAGAGTGTTATAAGTTTGACCACTATGTTTTTTAGGGTTCCGTACCTCAAAAGGAAAAACGGAACCCTTATAGGATCACTTTTTTGTCCGCCTGTCTGACTGTCAAGACCCTTTTTCTCAAGAACGCGTGGAGGTATCAAGCTGAAATTCATATCAAATACTCAAGTCTACTGTCCCTTGGAGCTGTGAAAAAATCATACTCCTAAGCCAACGCAATCAAAAGATACAGCCGTTTATGCCGCAAATTTTCGACATTCGCAAGGGAATCAAAACCTACAGGGTATTTCCCGTGAACTCAGAATCTTAAAATTTGGTACGAAGCAACGTATTATAGCACAGATAAAGGATAAATTGCAATAAAAACATAAATTTTTTAGTTACATCATATAATAAAAATATTTTTAATAATTCTAAACGTATACCTACGGATTTGTTCGGAACCCTCGGTGCGCGAGTCCGACTCGCACTTGGCCGGTTTTTTTTATAGGATAGGGTGACAAACGAGCACACAGTCCACCTGATGGTAAATGGTTGCTGTGACCCATAGACATCTACATTTATACTCAATAATGAATCAAAATGTAGATGCGTCGTCACCCGTGAGGACTAAGATGGAATGCCTCTTTTCCAGTAAAACGGGTCTCTGGTTCTCTACGCTCACTATACGAGAGATAGCTGTGTGAAGCTGCCATTTTACGCTGGTATTCTGTGAGAGCGTGGTCCTTCCTCGGTCGAGCCGACCCATTCGTGCTACAACTATACTACTAATATAGGTGCAGCATGGCTTTACCACATATAAAATACCTATGTATGTCTGTTTGTCAGTCTGTGTGTATGTCTGTGGCACAGTAGCTCTTAGACAGGTTAACCAATTTGGGTGCGGTTTTTTTAAATTTACGTTCAGGTTTTCTAGTAGTGGTTCATGTTTTATCAAAATTGTTTCAGCCGCTTCAAGGTAATCAGATGTTTTTCTAGGTGCGGTAGGGTTCTTTTCGTTTTTTTTTAATTTTCTATTTATGTTATCACAACACACTTTTGTCAGCCGCGTAGGAATTTTTAAATATAAATAAATAAATAAATGTCGCTTTCGTCACTGTCCGTGTATGACGCTGCAGCTACGAGTGATGTTTATTATTTCAAGTACGGATAAATTATTATGGATATAGAACGTTTATTCCGTATAGAACACTTTTAAAGGTCTTTACCTCAACGAGTACATAAGTGTTTGAATTAATACACAGACAGTGCAAGCAAAAACACTTTAGAGAATGACATTATGGACTATTACATACATACATACATAAACATGAGAAACAAATGAGGGGTAGGCAGAGACTACGGACATAAATTTTTCATGATCCTGACACAACTCTCTCGCCTCTTTCTCGTCCATATACCTACGGCTACATCGGTTAAGGGTACACGTAATGTAGCCTATGTTCAATATTGCTAACTTGGTCGATAAAATTCCGTATGGATTATTAGTAATTAATTATTAAACATATAACAATAATTTAGTATTGTATCAGTACTGAGTACTTGTAGCAATTTTTGCCTACAAGAAGATGTGCCAACGTTTAGCATTAATGCTGTTTAATTAAACTTTTACAGACTTATAAAGAAGAAGAAGAAGCAGTGTAGTGGCGGCGTAAGCATATATACACATACTCCATATCATCCCGTTAGTGTTGTAAGAAGCGACAAAATTAAACTGGGCTGGCTCTTTTCTCGCTCAAAGGCTAAGTATAACCATTCAGCAGGGAAACGCAGCCAGCATTCTTGGCTCGATACCGCGGGGAGTAGGACTGTATGATAATTAAGTTTTTTTTTTATTATAGTTATTAATATTGTTTATAATAAAATATTGTATATTCAAATTATAATAATAGAATTAATATAATTAAAAAAAAGAAACCGAAACAGGAGAATGGCAATCTATGGAAGGGGTCTATGGTCAGCGGTAGACTTTTGACATATTGTCGTGACTGAATGAAAAATAATTCATTCATTTTTCATTCATTCGTGAATTCATTCATTCATTTTTCATTCATCCGTGAATTCTTTCTTTTTTCATTATGAATTAAATTAGTACGAGTATATAGTGGTAGTTTTAATGTATATTGCAGCGTAAAAAATCCATCTTCCGATCTCGTCCCGTTGGTGTCGTAAGAGGCGACTGTGGAAAAATTTATAAGGTTTTTTAGCCTACGATATTTTCCCGGAAGTATAGCTATGTCGTAGTGTAGTTACATTAAAAATATACCCACATCTGTAACAGGAAGTAACGTCAAAGATGCGAAATCTGTGATACTGGTATCGCTAATCCACCAGCCAAGCTTGTGGATTGTGACAAGTCCTTCTTACCAAGGAAGTATTCCATATGGATTTTTTCTAGCTAATGAGGAAGAAGAGGAGGAAATTAAGTAAAATATAACCAAATGTACAATAAATAGTTTATTCTCATTACAATTAAATTTAACTTCGCCAAAACAACAGAAGCAACAGTGTTCACAAAGTCTTAAAAAATATCAAATCTTCAATACAACCGGTAAATTCTTTGGTGTCCAAAAAGACAAGGATATAATCACAAAATATCAAAATGTTACATTAATTTAATATTATTTAATGACTTATACTAATGAGCCATTGACATGAACATATCTCTTTTAGTACCGATTTTTTAAATGTCAGATAAGAGTTAGTCAAATAAATTATGACCTAACTGAATATAAAAGTGAAACAATCGAACTATATTTTATTCAAAGTAGTGTTTTTTTTTTTGTGTATTTTGTGCTATCAATAACTTTTATCTCAGGATTTAAAAATCGGTCTTTATTCTATTTACAATAGTTCCCTGAAGGTTCCCTAATATTTGTTACTCTGCGCAGTAATTTATAGCTTATTATAGTTATTTATGGTTTTATTTTGTACAATTTTTTGGAACTTATCTCCTCCGGGCTGGAAATCCTCATTTTGAATTGGTCTTTACTCATTTCTCTGAGGAATATTAGGATTTTGATGAACATAATTTTAGTTCCTATCGTCGCTCAATAATGTTTTCATTTTATTGTAATGATAGAATGGCTGTCAATACTCTTGGTAGTACCCGACTGCCCAAGAAGGAAGACAGTGTTTTACGAGTGTGTCTATGTATTTTTGTATGTCTATTTATTACGCACGCTCTGTAGTCTAAACAGTTTGAAGAATTATTAACATGTTGGGTGTAAAGACACCGAAAATGATAACAAGATTCTTCTATTTTGGAAGTGATAAAGGATATTATTTGAATTCTCTTTTAGGTAGACTTTTATGTAGCCAATTTTCGTTAATTATCGTTTTAACCATTGGGCTTTTTATCATATTTTTCAACCGACTTCAAAAAAAAGAGGAGATTCTCAATTCGACTGTATTTTTTATGTGTATTACCTCAGAACTGTTTTCTAGGTGAACCGATTTTGATGATTCTTTTTTATTTGAAACCTGATTTCATCTTTCTCATTATCACATATAAGTTTAATCAAGATCTGATCAGTAGTTTTTGAGTTATCCTTAATAATGCGTATTAAATGGACTTCAACTACATTGATGATGTTCTCATTTTATTTATATTGTAGTCGGTTGTACAATTTTTTTAATTTTACCACTTGTTGTAGATATAGTTATTATACTCATTATTCATTACAATTAGTTAGCCATTAAGCTTGTGCCAATAAGATGCCAATGGACAGACTAATTATGACTAACTTATTTGGTGTGGTTTAGGTTTAGCCCAGTAAGATGAGCCAAGTTGTCTTTCTACAATCGCTAATGATAATTAAACAAAACTAAAATAACCAATGGTAGTTACATATTTCAACGTTAAGTCACAAATGTCACGTTGACTGCATTTATTTCTTAGTTTTCCATTAGCGTCATCGATTGTAGAAAGTCAACTTGGTTAACCCCGTAGAGCAAAGTTTGTCATTTGCGTTATGCGATAAACGAACGTAGATAAATGTATTTTAGTAACTTTTATCTATATTACATTTATTTATGTACTTTATTTAGTGTTCTAAAGAATAAGCCCTGATCAGAGTTTTACGTTTGTATTATCCGAGGAATGTACGTAAATATATTTACTATAGTTACTTATATGAAAACATATCTCATCTCATCTTTTTTCTTTGTATCCACATAATACAATAGTAATTATACAAATTATGCTGTTAATATATTTGTAACCATTTAATTTTAATAACAATTTCTATAGTGTCATTTTCTGCAGTATTATTTGTACCATGATATTTTCTTTTGTAATCATAACGAGTTTTTAATATGGCAATACATTGACCGACGAGCCAAAAATCCTTTAGTCTGTACTTAAAAATATTTTAGTCTGTAACTTAAACTTTTGAAGATTTTATGAAGACGGGGCAACGTCGATAAATATTTCGTTGAGTGGTATTGTTCCGAGCACTTTATTAATGAATGGCTTGAGCACCGCAGCAACAGTGTCTTCTATGAGCGGGTTTATTATATCTAAGATGACTCCTGGGCTGGCGTTGAAGAATGTGGCCGCTGATAATGCTGGTAAAATAATATTGTTTATTTATAAAATCTTAATTTATATAAGAAAATTTACGTAACAGATCAATAGAAAAGAAAATTATTTACTTAATAAATGAACAAAACAGTCACTATCGGGACATATTCGTTTCTACATACATAAAAAAAGTGTCTAAAGTTTTTTCTATTATAATGTCTTCCAGGCCAAATTTCGCTCACGGCGGCCAATAGCAACGGAGACTATTCATCTTTGATGGTCAGTATTACCTTGAGTGTAAACGCAAACACAGGTGGTCTCTATTATCTCCCTCTCGTAGTCTGACAGAAATTTGACACGACCGGAGAGTGATCAGGCGCAGAACTAACGGATTTACGTGCTTTCTGCCTCAAAAACACCGCTAATTTCCTGATTTCGGTGCCCTACTCAGACATTCTTGAAAGAATAACCTAATGACTGTTAGTCAAATCAAAATTTGAGACTGGTTAACCACTGTTTTTACCAACCCGACGGCCTAGGATACACACTTTTATGTACATATTTGACGGATCCACTTAACTGGAAAGTCGATTCATCAATTGCATTCATCGACATATTTCTTGTGGTAGTGGCATGCCTTAGGATGCCTACGTTCAGCAGTGAAAGGAGCTTCGGTAATATTTAGATTGAAAAGTAAATAAAGAGGAAATTAAACTTACCCGCCGCAGGTCTTTCACTGTCGGTCAAGCTTATTTGAGCATTTTTGATTTTAATCTTAGTGACGATTTTTTCGGCCTGGAGGTACTCGACTCCATCCTTTACGATGGGCTTTGCACGGCCTTTCGCTACGACACTTACACCAGCTGAAATCATAAAGTAATTTTAAGGCCAGCTTGGACAAAGATATCCTAATTTAGACCCTATATTGTTTGAATTAAGTTTTTAATTGAATGGATTCTTAAGATACTTTATATTACTCGAGAAAAAAATATAATTTTATTTTAGGACAACCTATAACGAGTTTTCTTTTTTTTAAACGATAACCATATAATAATTTTTTATAAAGGCATATTATTAAATTAGATTCTTGATCAGCTACATTTTAATTTAGATTCTTTATTTACTGATGATAAGGAAAAACGTTCAAATAAAGTAACTTTTTGTCCGCCGAATGTCGCACGCTAACTTCGTGCTGGACAAATATGCACGCAGCGGAAAAGGTCAGTCGTCACTCCATCTAGTGCCGCCCTACCAGCTAATACGACTTACCGGTACGAAGCTGGCACTCAAGAACCTAACTTCCTCATTAGTTGTCGGTTCATCGAGCTATATGATCGGCCCAACAAGTCACGCTTGGCAACTATGGCAATTGAAACGACAAAAGCCATGAAGTCAGATACTAAATTATATTTTACCACCTATATATTGTTATCAGGGCAGCTCATTGTTTCAATTAGCAACTAGAAATCAAATAATATTATGATTACAAATATCAATTTTAAATAGAGAACAAAATAAGAAAAAATTGTCAAAAATTTAAACTTACTAATGTTGCCCTTCATAACGCCCTTGCCATTGATTTCGGCGGTGAGGATACGGGAACCCAAGACATCGTAATCCGCCGTCACAATCAACTTCGGAATCTGTAGCTTTATCTCAGCCAAATACTTATTGTTTAAATTTACTCTGAAAGTGTGAATTAGAATAACAAATGTAAGTAATAGCATGTTGTCAAAATGTCGCTTTGCATTTCATTCTTTGACTACGACAATATTTAGCTAAATAAGATAATGATAATTTTACCTATAGATTATTATAGGCATTGAAAAGTGGTAAAATTATAAATTTTGTACAACCGACTTTAATATAAGTTATTAAGGATACTTCAAAAACTACTGGTTAGACCTTGATCAAAATTATATAGGACCACATGAGAGGAAACAGCTTTCAAATAAAAAAAAAATTTAAATCGGTTCACGCAGAAAAAAGTAATGAAGTAACACACATAATAAAAGAAAAAAAAATCAGAATCCTTTTTGAAATCGGTTAAAATAGACTGCCCAATCAAAAGTGCTATTCATAAGGCCTGGGGGTCTAAGAAAGTACATATTAAAATATCTGGAAAGAAAACATTTTTAGGAGTGATTCTTATCCTATGAAGCAGTATATGCCTTCTTACTTCAATACTGAATTTTAAATAAGCCTTGTCACAAACTTTATGGGAAAACTTTGGATACCTGAGAGTAAATATTCGTCGAGGAATCACCCCCTGGAATGAAAAAAGTAGGTTTCTTTCTGCTCTAATTACTCTCTGAATACCATTTAAATTAAAAGATCTGTGAAATAAAGAGAGTGAAGTTAAGCAACAGCTTATTTTATACTTATGTAATACTAGTATGATTCGTTGATTTGTAAGAAATTTAAATTTGTCGTGAATGGTTATGGTTACATTTGGTATAGAAATAAAATTATATTCTTTAAAATCTCTTTTTGTGTTATGTTCCACCACGAACGACCTAATAATTTACGTAAATAAAACTGTATGGTAATGAAATATTGGCTGAATCTAATTGTCCGGCTAATATGAACGCTGCACATAAAAAAGCACTGAACTCTCGTGATCGTCACGTTTAGATACATATATATATATATACAAAAATAATGTTTACAAGTTTGTGAAGCTAGGAAGTATTCACTTCTGACTGTAATTATTATATGAATACTTTTGACAGTTTTGTATTTCAGATAAGTTATACATATCTACATATATCTCTTTCGTATCATTAAAATCGTTGCACTATTTAATTAACTTGTGTTTATTGTTTATATATAGCTAGCTCCTTTAAGTTAAAGAAAAAGATGAAATAAGTTAACTAAGACGTAGAATAAGATCAGGAGGATCTTATAAGTTTCTTTGAGATCTATTATTACTACTTGCAACGTATGTTTTTGACGAAGGATTTAAAACTATCACCCATCTATCAGTCTACATAAAGATTTAAATAACAATTTATTACGCTTTATACTTGCTTGGCATTTATGTACGTATATATTTTTACGTGTTATAAATACAGCTTTATAATGGTTGCAATACGAATAGGTTGTCTCGACTGGGGTAGGATCACGCTCTCACAGAATACCAGAATGAAATATTCTGCTATCTTTCTTATGATGAAAGAGAAACGGAGACCCTATTTAATGATTACGAGGCATTCCATCTTAGTCCTCAGGGATGACAACGCATATGCATTTTTGATCTTATTCGAAGAAAGTTGTAGTTGTCAATGGGCCACAGCATCGCCTTACTGTCAGGTGGAAAGTGTGCTTGCGTGTCACCCTTATTGGAAGTAAAAACTGGAAATGAGTTGGGGGGTGACTCGAACTTTAGACCTAGTCAGTTTTAATATCCTATCATATAGAAGATGTGATGGGGGTCATGGTTGAAAGGGGGCAAAAAGTTCTGATTACACTCCTAGCGGGTCAAAATTGCCAAAAACCAAAAAATTGGGGGGCGGCTCGAACTTCAGGCATAGTCAGTTTGAATAGCCTATCGTGTAGAGGATTTCATGGGAGTCATGGTTGAATAGGGGCAAAAAGTTCTCATTACACTCCTAGGCGGTCAGAATGGCCAAAAATCAAAAAAAAAATTCTTATTTCGGCTATAACTCCGCCCCCTTCGGAGATTCTTACACAGTCTTTACTTCCCGCATCCCACTTGTTCTAAGTATAACAAAATCAATGGAATTTTATGATTCTGCTTTCATACTCTTCTAGACTTCTGAATTTTAAGAGCTGATGACAATACGATAGTGAGAGTAAGAATTGCCGATAATAACATGAGTTATTCTCACAAGGATTATCACAGTTCATGATAGTATAAATGTTACAGACTGTCACAACGAAGTGAACATAGTAATAGTGTACAACATTCATACTATAACATTGTAACATGTATTATAAAAAAGACATATTCATAACATATACGGCTCATACCAAACACTAGATTTCACGACTGGGGAAACGATGTCAAGGAGCAGATTTGCTACGTTATATCGAATTGATAAACGTTGTTTATTATTACCATTTGATAATGATTGAAATATTGTTTTTTAATTAAAATTTATAACCGAATTTGAAATCAGAATTAAATAATAAATCTAATTTAAAGCTAATTATTTTTTGCATTAAAAAGGAACTGATAGATTTATAAAGACTTTAAGCGGAACTATCAAAGTAATCAAAACAAAATTTATGAAGGAATTACATTTTATAACTTATATAAACAAAAAATTCATACTGCTTGAGTTGGAACAGTGTTTATAAAATTGAAATAAGGCCCAAAGTAATAAAACTTTAAACCTAATAAATTACCAATTTTTTCAGCTTTATAACAATCGAAGAAAATATTCTACTATGTGAATAAAATCGTGATGAGCTAAAATAAAAACACGTATTCACAATGCTGTGTTAGCCCCGACCTGTATGGTAGTGAATTTTGGGTACGGCAGAAGAAGCATGAAACTGAAAATAATGTTGTAGAAATGCGGTCATTAAGTGTATTAGGGTTGACTTTGAATGATAGCCTGAGAAGTTGAATAATAATAATAATAATAATAAATATCTTTATTTGACACTTCTATTTCATACAACATCATTGAGCCCTGACTCCTAAACTAGGATACCCTGTATTTCAGGAGTCAGTTCCTTCCTATTCAGTAACACTTTGTGTCGATAATACATTAGGAAATGTTGATATATTACTTAATACTCAGTTTAATATATACGCGTGTGTGTGTGTGTGTGTGTGTGTGTGTGTGTGTGTGTGTGTGTGTGTGTGTGTGTGTGTGTGTGTGTGTGTGTGTGTTAGTGAGTGAGTAGTTTGATTGATAATAGATAAGTGTAGTTTGCAAAAATGTGTGACCAGAATGAATAAAGGAATGGTTTTCGCGACCAATTGGGTGTATGTATAGAAGGTAAATAACGTCGTACCAAATTAAGATACATCTTTAGTCAGAACTTGTGTACCATTACCCGACGAGCATGTATGTGGATGTAAAAGAAGCGAGAGAAGTGTGTCAGCATCGTCTCAAATGAAGTCCGTAGACTTTGCCTACTCTCCTGGGTGACAGGCATGAAAATTTATGTATGTGTTTATGTATGAAGTTGCGGACAGAGCTAATATCAAATATAAACAATACTTAAGGAGTACCATAAACACTATTAGTAATTCTAACCACATGCTCAAATTGTGGCTTCATGATAGGTTTTTATGCGAACATGATACATATAGATTTCAATGTGAATTAATTACCATTTTACATACAATAACCAGGAAGCGGTGTGGTCTATATTGATTGTTATTGAACGCTATATGTGGTATAATACGTGATAGAGTCACGCTGAAGGGAAGGTAGTACGCGCGCACATAATACAAGTGTGAAACAGCAGCACAAGTCTATTGTGTTTCGTATTGACCAAGGTTTGAGCTATAGATACTGATACTGATAGACTGTTTGATGGAGTCATCATCTCTTAGATGTTGTAAGAAGCGACATATTATTGTATTTGTTTAACAAAAACTACGTTAGATTTTTTCTGCTTCGTGGAGGCGTTTTCTATGTGCTTTATACATGTGGAAATTGCTCATAGATCCACCAAAATCCAGAACAGTAGGGTAACAGTATTTTACCAAATGTAAGGCCCAAACCAGTGACGGCAATCAGCGCCAAAAATGCGACACCTCGGATACTGCAGTCACCACATTGCCAACTAGCCCTTCCTCTCTGGAGATCCTTAGTCAACAGTCAAGTTGTAAAAGTCAGTTCTTCAGACTGATTAGAAAATGAATGAAAGACATTGTATACTTACTTTACTTTTTCAATTCTGAAATTGGAACCACCGTATGCCTTCGCATTCTTTATAACAGCTTTCAGGCGAAGGTTCGACGCTGTTCTATCCAGCTTCAATGTGGGGACTACGAAGGGATCTAAAGCGGGAATGTTGAGCTCTGGGATGCCAGTCTTCAATTTCGGCTTCATGTTTTCAATACCATCCGTTAGGCATTGCTCTATTAGTGGATCGTTCTTCTTGCATTTTGGAAAGTAATCGGCTGAGAACAAATTTTTGAAATTGTTGTAAATATAATTAAGAGCGTAGTTCAGTAATGGTAAATTATGTTAAAAGTTAAAGTTACGACTTATATACGTCCCACTGATGGCACAGGCTTATTTTTATTTATGAGAGAGTTTCGATTTTAAATATAATTATTTCATCACTCTATTTATCCAACTTGATTCATCTTTGGAACTACACTTAATTTAACTAACCGTGTAACGCATTTAAAACATTCATTCATTGCAGCCTATAACAAGTCCACTGCTAAACATAACCCTCCCAAATACATTGCCTCACTGCATTTGCCACAGTTGGCGCAGACGCTGCGACTACATGGCGAAGTTGAAAGCAATAAATGTGCACAAATAATGGTATAATAATCACCTCTTAAACAATTTCTTCTTAAGCAATGTCTTATGTTACTTAGTAGGTTTTGTATTTTAATTACTAAAACAATGCGAGTTAAAATCCTGGCAACATTTTTTTTTAACTAACTACTGCCTGTGTCTTTAATAGTTGAAATTTTATAACCTACGTCCATATTTAAATTTTGATAACATATTCCATAATATGTTATCAAAATTGAAATTTTATATATACGGGCAACTATTTCAAAATTACGGTTTTTGTAGGTTAATCAGGTAAGAATGACTATATTAAATGCATAATACGGAGCACAGTTTTTGTTTCGTGGGCACGAAATACGGAAGGACCTTGGACAAGTGTGTGAAACTCACAATCCTTCATTAAATATGTTCGTAGAAAATATATTTTCTTCTTAACGTATCAATGCGACCTAATTTTCTATGTTAATTTGCTCGGTACGACCGAAAGGAAATAAGGGTTCGTTGCGTCACGCGAGGAACCTTTAGTGCAGCATGCATGTTCGACAATAGTAATTATTACGTCTATGATAATTTTATCGACTGAAGGAATCGTCAAACCATCTGCCGAGCGTGACGATTAAAACAAATCCTTCATAAAACTTGAGAAGCACATGTCTAGATATTTTTACGGGATATGACTTTTATGGGGTGCTGCTGTTGAAGGGAAGTTTTTAAATACCTATTTTAATCTCCTTTATTATTTATATTCACATAAGGATATATTTAAAAAAATACGATCAAAAACCGGTTGCGTATCTGACTTTAACCACAAACACTTCCTTGAATTTATTTACTCTTTTCATGGCTCGTGGTAACTCGTATGTTGTTTTCACATATAGTTCGTCGTTCGTGTATAACGACAAAACTACAAATGTGTAGACTCCTTGGTTTGTAGTTAAAATTATCACGTTAACGTTTAGTTTTTTGGAGTATTTGTTAAAAAAAATATTTTGAAGCAATTAAATAACTAGTTAATTATGTTATTAAGTAGCGTATATAATACATATAACATAGATCAATTAAATGTTTTATGACTAATTTACGTAATACCGATTTACTAAAATTAATGTAGAATCACATAATGATTAAAGACTATCGTTAATAAATTATTAATTAATATATTTTAAGGATTGTGATGTAATTATAATATAATATAATGATATTATTGAGAAATAGACCTAAATTTAATATTTATTTTAATTAAGTAGTGTTCAAATTTTGTATACTTGTAATTTAATGTGCTTAATATATTTTTATCATAGGGAAGGACCACGCTCTCACAGAATACCATCTTAAATATCTGTTGTTTCGTGTAGTGATTGTAGAGAACCGGAGACCGTTTTTACTGAAAACGAGGCATTCCATCTTAGTCCTCGGGGGTGACAACCCATTTGAATTTTAATTATTAAGCTTTGATAGATGTTAGTGTCTTTAGGCCGCAGGATCCACTTTTATTTAAAAAAAAAATTATTAATATTTTTATAAACTAATGGAATTAGGAATAAAAGCTCGGTGTTGTAAAAAAAACTATTAAGTCACATTCTTCTCGATGGACGCAATCCTTATTTGATTTTAAAAAGCTGTCCATTGAGAGGAATTGTATGCCATAATATGAGGAGCTGGTCGTTGCAAGTGTTTGTCCAAACACGTCAAGTGCAGATAAAATAATACGCCAAATATTATTTACTTACATTTAATTTGAAAACGTCAAAATATAATCTACTCGAATAATCATTTTTCTTCGCGTAAGCGCTAAGTTACATTCACTTTTTTAGTAACCAGATTTTAAAAGGACGTACATTGATATTAAACTAAAAGACAGCTCAAGGATTTTGAATTGACCAATTTAATTGTTATTTAAGATATTAGTGTTATTTTCCACGTGTTTTCTCAGAACGTTTCACATTTTTTATAATACTAAAGTGACAAAGGAACTCATAGTCCTCCTCCTGAATGTAATTGATGATCCTTTACGGCATCATCAATTACAGGTTGGAATAACCTTCCACGAGATTTAAAAGATGCTCCCTCAATAAATACACTGAAACGTAAGGTTGAGGCACATTATTTAAAGTTACTTGATTAATATTATTAGTTTATATAATAATATAATTATAATTTCCTATCCTAGATTGTATGTATTTTATTGGTATAGTATTTATTTTTATTTATATATGTGTATACGGTTATATGTATAAACTTACATATATATTTATATTATATTATATGTTTTGTATAATATGTGTAAATAAGTTGGTTTTTCCTCTTGAGGCTCTCCCCGTAGATCTCACCACACCACCAAAGGTTAGTTGACAGGGAATGCCTTTATGCCATTAAGTTCGCCTTTGTACCAATTTTTTTTGTTTGAGTGCAATAAAGAATTTTCTATCTATCTATCTATAGTCCACGTGATGGTAAGTGGCTACTTCAGCCCATGAATCTCTATGGACTAAGGTGGAATTCCTCACAGCCTGCAATAATTCTGGCTCTCAGAATACAGCGGTGCAAGCACTTTGGCGTTGGAAATAGGCAAGAGGATGGTACCTATTTCGACCGACGCCTTAGCAGAAAAGATGTAATACCACCATAAGAACTACATCCGAATCTTACCAAGAAACAACAGAGTGCATATACTTTTGCGTGTACACTTCTACTCTTTAAGTCCCTTATACTCGTAGCTGACAAACCCCAAGAACATTAAAAGTGTCGCGTGATCGAAATTGGCTAAAATACGTCTTCCACAACACATTAAGCTATGTAACTTTGGATAACGACTTATAAAACCTTCATACTTATTAGTGTTAAGATGAAACCAAAGTTAAGCAATGAGTTGACTGGACGCTTTGCACAGTGTTCCGGTTTTTTATTCAGAAAATTATAAAGTAATATTAAACATAAAATTATGAATTATGTGTTTAATTTCTACATTTTAAAAAGGTATTTCGGAGAAATCTAATTGGTTGGTATCCAACACGAAATTTTAAAAAAAAATGAAGTTTACTTTTTACTAGTCTAAAATAACCATTTTAGTAGAAAATTCGATTTTTTAACCAAGTAATAATCGTTAAACAAACAATTACACAAAAAACAAAAGAATCATGAAAGGTTTCATGAGTCCACTGCTGTACATAGGCCTCACCCAAGTAAGCCACAAAACACAGTCCCGAGCCACCTACAGCCATCGACTTCCTGCATGTCTTACCAGTTCGTTACCTCATTTGGTTAAATGTTAAAATATCCAAAACCATTCCACCACCTCCTTAATAGAAAATATCCACAAATAATTGAAAATATTCTTTAAATTAGATTCACAACCGTGTAATACACGATAGGATACACGATTCATAAATCGTGTTTGCAGAAATTATAAAATATCACATAATAAAATAAGTAACTAAAATATAATTTTCGGTAGGCGAAAAATTCTTTATCTAAAAAATAAAATAAATGACGTATTTACAATAAGCTTCTGTGTATTATTAACCTTAATATAAACTGTTCACGTTCTAATACAATTAGATAAATCTTACGATTATAACGTCTGCAGTTTAAACAAACAAAACAACAAAAATACGTACGAACTTTCCCGTAAACGGTGGCGACGGTCGCGATAGAAATAAATAATAACACTTTCATTTTGATAAACAAATTCAGTATTTTAGTGATAATATAAATAAAGTATGACTGACGGAAACTGCGTGTCTTAGCGATTGAACGACTGAAAGCGAATGTGCGAGCCCGCCGAAAATTACGATATTTGTACTAAGGGAGTTGCAGTGCGACTGCACCGAGTCCGAAGTTGAGCAACTACAGGAAAATAAATATATTTTGGGAATTTCCGTAAATTAAATATTTATTTAATTTGCTAATAAGGAACAAAAAAAAATATAATTCATTATTGTCTGTGAAGTTTTTTTTTTTTTTTTTTTTTTATAGGAGAGGGGGCAAACGAGCATGCGGCTGACCTGATGGTAAGTGACTACCGCCGCCCATGAACAACCGCAACACCAGGGGAATTGCAGATGCGTTGCCGGCCTTTTAAAAAGGAGTAGGCTCTTTTCTTGAAGGTCCCTAAGTCGTATCGGTCCGGAAAAATCGCTGATGGTAATCGATTCCACAAGGAAGTCGTGCGAGGAAGAAAACATCTTCTAAATCGCACAGTGGTGGACCGCCAATCATCCAGATGGTGTGGATGGTATCGGGAGTTCTGCCGCGATGTGCGTTCATGAAATTTGGCGGCTGGGATTAATCCGAACAATTCCTCAGAGCACTCCCCATGGTAGATGCGAAAGAAAATGCAAAGAGATGCAACATCTCTTCGCAGTGCCAATGAATCGAGCCGATCGGAAAGGGCTCGGTCGTCGACGATTCGAGCTGCTCTGCGCTGGATGCGGTCAAGTGGAAGGAGCTGGCACTGGGGAGCCCCTGCCCAGAGATGGGAACAGTATTCCATGTGAGGCCGAACCTGCGCCTTGTAAAGTTGCAGGCGGTGTGCCGGCATGAAATACTGTCCCGCTCTGCTGAGCACGCCAAGCTTTTTAGAGGCCAATTTGGCCTTCTCTTCCAAGTGACCACGAAACTGCACGTCACTCGATATGTCGACTCCGAGGATACCGATACTGGCTGAGGCAAGAAGGGGAGTGCCTTGAAACTGAGGAGATACGACAAAGGGGTTCTTTTTAGCGGTAAACGCGCAAACTTGTGTCTTCTGAGGATTAAACTGGACTAGATTTAGTCGCCCCCAATCCGAGACTTTATATAATTGTTTATTATTTATTTATAGTTTAAACGCAAATACGTATAACGTCAGTCCAGTCACTTCTCGTCCATAAAATACCAGTTTGTAGCTTGTATTACATGCATACAACACCTATAAACATGCAGATCTTATCTATCAAAGCATTTAAAATATTTATTATTCAGTAAGGTTTATTATACTACTAAAGACTACATGATTGATAATAACCCCTCGGAATGAGGTGATCGCTACCATGCTGTATCTAAATGTTTTCATAACAATTATATAAATATTATATTGTAAGTTATTATTATTATTATAAAGCCATTTATTTCCTTAACAAAATTATTAAAACACATTTCATTAATTTCGTTAAATAATTTAAAATTAGAAACAAAATTATAACATAATCAGATCATAAAAGAAAATACATTTAAATAAGATAAAATTATCGTTACAATCAATAATAAATTGTAAGTTATGCTTTTAAAAAAGTCCCGCTGGGTTTCTTGCTGGTTTGCCCAGGACAGAGGTTTTTTCCGAACATGTGGTAAAAGGTAAAAATTACTTTCAATAAGAATTACATGTAATCAATATTGAATAAAAAAAATTCCATTCTATTTTATTTTATTAATATTCACAATACTTCGTAACAGATAATAATATAATTTATACTGAAAATAATTAACTCGATCAAACTAACCCTATGCACAATTAGTCTACCGTTTTTTCAACTTCCCTTTTTACTCTAACTACTTAAGTCGAAAATTCAAATTTTTAACATCTCTAAGTACATGGAAACACTCTCAGTATTGCCATGTGTTAGAGAGATAGACACTGGGGGTATTAAGCATGTATTCCAATTTTCTTGATTTGGCACGAAACACTAATAATTATCTAACTTTAATTATTTTTTATTTTATCTTAAATTTTACATTCGTTAAAAAAACGTCGAAGAAGTATATGACAATGAGTAATAAAAGCTTGTACGACGTTCGTCGTACCAGGAAGCTTAACGCAGATTCTGTTGTTAAAAAAAAAATTACTTAATTTTTATATTATTTAAAAGTATTCTCGACACGTTCGTAAAAATGATTTAATTGTGGTTATTTGCACCTCATCAGCGCATGGGTCGCATAAGAGACGACTTAGAGCAAGATGACCTAATGGCTTCCGGTATCTCAAGAACTTCTGAGTGTTTCCCCAGGGGCTGTGGTAAAACCGTTGTTGTATGCCACCATAATAAGTATCAGTAACAAAATATTCAGACCGGGGCCGGAGTACCTGCGGGAAGAAAGCAAAGTCAAAGATTTTTATATCACCAATTCACCTACAAAAGGTGGCGATTAAAATAAACCTTGCCTATTGTGGAGGAGGTCCATGTTCAGCAGAAAACTACTGAAGAGTTGATGAGAAAAAAAGTAGTATATAAAACTCGTTTTTCCAAAACAAAAACTTAAAATTAAATTTTAAGAAATAAATTATCAAGCTGAAATCTTATAACGCTATTTACTAACGAACAATCGCTTCTGGAAAAAAATATAATAAAACCACATATAACAAAGTACACAAGGCCAATGAGTCAATTCGTGTATATTAAAAATAAACAATAAGCAAAAAGTTTCTTCGACAGCAGATAATTATTATTATACACCACCAATACGTATATTGGTGGTAGAAAAAACCTCAAGAACATTTTTATTTATATATTAATTCATATTCACAAGCAACGCTTTGTAACAATTCAGGTTATCTATAATATTGTAAAAAGAAAAAAACAGAGTGACCTAAATGGATACTGAAATTATTTAATAAGCTATGGATATAAATAGAGTGTGGCTCAGGGCCGTGCTGTGGGGCATACCTTGGGATAAACCAATGTTCAGCAGGGGACTTGTGATGGGCTGTAATGATGATCACGAAATTGAGTGACGACCAGGTGAGACATGTAAAAAGTCATTGGGTGCAGATGGCACAGGTCAAGACCGTGTTTTGTGGCATTATTACTTATTACTTTAAAAAATAAGTACCTGGGCGACCGAGCTTTGCAACTTTGGCGATAGGAAAAAGTATTTATTTTTTCAGGAATGAGACCTACCTAGATATACATGGAGCCTATGCTCATAACTAAACCCAAGTTTAGCTGGCTAATCTTAGTTTATTATTTACACTAACGCTAATTGAACTTTAATCTTAAGTTTATTTTTTACCATAACAAGCCTACGCTTATAACTAAACCCAACTTTAGCTAGCTAATCTTAAGTTTATTATTTACACTAACGCTAATTGAACTTGAATCTTAAGTTCATTATTTACAATAACAAACCTATGCTTATAACTAAACCCAACTTTAGCTAGCTAATCTTAAGTTTATTATTTACACTAACGCTAATTGAACTTGAATCTTAAGTTCATTATTTACAATAACAAACCTATGCTTATAACTAAACCCAACTTTAGCTAGCTAATCTTAAGTTTATTATTTACACTAACGCTAATTGAACTTGAATCTTAAGTTCATTATTTACAATAACAAACCTATGCTTATAACTAAACCCAACTTTAGCTAGCTAATCTTAAGTTTATTATTTACACTAACGCTAGCCGTAACATACATATAACTTAGGTTACAACTTTAATAAAATAAACTATCAAAAAAGAACCAGATGTGCAGTCCACACGCGGTAGTAATGAAATCTTCAAAAAACTAAGCCTCGAGAGAATGAAACGAATGCAGAGTAGCAGGAGTAGAATAATTGTAGCCCTTATTTATTATATGTATATTATTATCAAGTTTAAAAATTATATTATACATTATATTATATTATATATAATAGGAAACACTGTATACTGTATTCTATCACAATCTCTCGCACATTAAATCCTCATATAGATGTTTCATGCATATATGTTTGTTTTTTTTTAGTGTCGCTTTCTCTTTTCATCGATTTTCAAATCAGAAGGATTCTAAAGAAATTTTACATAAAAAAATAAGGGCAATTGAAGTTATATTAAAAAACTTAAAAAGTTGTAACATTAATAACCTTTTTGATAAACCAATACGTGATGGGAAACTATTTATTGCAATCCGCTAAAGGTACTAAAGTAAACAACTGGCGACCTATTAAATAAAATAAAAACACGTCGTATTTACGTAAAAAAATAAATAAAAAAGCAACAAGTTGTGCACGGGCTTGTATTTCCGTGACGTATTACATAAAAATGGAGGCAAACCGCAGGCAGTGGTATAATAACGTTGCATAAGGCGTAGCGCTATTTATTATCTCACGCCTAACAGAGTTCGGAAGCTGGTGCTGTTACGTCTTTTGGCGATCTGGAACAAACAGTGATCGGCCAACGAAAACTAACTCAACATATAAAAATACTCTTTCTCCGTAGATAGCAATGCAAGATTTTTTCAATAAGTTGCAACTCTTATAATATCTTTCTTGTAAAAACTTGATACCCTTTTCATACATTATCCAGTTTTTTCTTAGTCTAAATCTTTTTTCAAATTTATTACTGGGCATGTGGCTTATTGTGTAGTGCCGAGTAAGAGAGAGAATCCATCAGCCAATTTCCGTGGATGTCGTATAAGGCTATTATTGGGATAAGCCAAAATATACTATGTCTACCGGTGAATCCGAAAGATATAGGCTTCATATAGAGATCTATCTTAAAGTAAAATACTCGACTGGCAAGGGTAAAGCAACGTCAAAGGTGCAAAAGTCTACCAAATGTATTACTAAGGTAAATCCTCCATACGACAGGAGAGAACCATGCTAAACATGATCTTTTTTTCCATTCGAACATTGACAGTGAACTTTTATGGGCCGATGAAGAAAAAAAAGTTTGGTCATAGGCTTGTTCATAGGCTTTTTTAGGATTTGTAATATAT